GTTCCATTCGGGAGGGAGAAAAAGTGGAAAACGATGGATAGATAATATATTCATAGAAAGGAAAGTATGGCCTTCTAATCCGTTGCTAAATGAGATTACAATTACTTTTTTCTACACACAACACAGTATCTATTAGTATTCAAAATAGGATCATAGACACTGATAGACTAATGGTCTACCAGGTATAATATACATATAATATATAATAATATTATATATATAGATGTGTGTTTATGTTGATAAAATAGCTCATACAAATAAAAAGTTATTTTTAAAGCTCAGAATTTATATTTATTCAAAATATACATTGAACACTACTACAGGGTAGGGGCTAAGTCTGTCACAACACTGCTTAGTTTTTTTATCTGTAATGGCCATGACACTCCATTGAACTCAATAATTAAAATTAACACTCTTGATATGAAAGCATGACTGGCAAGATTATTTGGCTAATATGCCCATGCCTAAAAATATTTTTTAATTATTAACTATCAATTTATTGTTTTAATTATTAACTATCAATTGTTGTTTTACTTGTTCTCTACAACTAACTTCCAAATCTTGAATTATCATGCCCTGGAGTGGAGTTCCTACTGCAACTACTTGGTCATCCTTATATCTTGATCAATACTACCACTCCAGACTTCCCCAGAGGAGAGGCTCTTTTTATTTTCCCTGCAGAGAAGACAGTAATGGGCTGTTAAAGGCACACAGTAGGAGCACAGCAACCAGTTAAACTGCTAGGCCTCTGAAAATATTACTCAGCTGTCAGAGAAGCAGTCCGTCTATGACTTAGTGGTACGTGGTGATCAATACTACTGTTACACTGTACTAATTTACTGAGTTTAATGATATATTTTTGATACATTTACACCCATCTAAAATTATAGCAGCAGCAACATTACCTTTTGTAAACTGGTAGCATGTGTACATATAAATAACATGGTCACATGTCTTCCACCTCAATTTTATCCTTGGAAATATGAAGTATAAAACTAAAAGTGTATTTTTCTTTTCCTTTTTTTTTTTTAAGCTTATCTTTCTTATTTCTAATGTGAATATCATCCAGTTCCTGTGGAACAGGTGATGGCAGGAAAGAGAAGTTTAAAAACATATATAAATTTTAATATGCTGCCAAATGTTTGAAAATGGACAGGTCAGGTAAAGAAATGAGATTGCCCTTACCTGTCTGTGATTCCACATGAGTCTATCTGAAGGTCACTGAAGTTTCCAAGGGACCCCTGCTGAACTGAAATCAGATCTACCACCTTGTTACTGATAGAAATGAGTCTCATACATCCCTGAAATCCACCCAGTGGATTTTTACATTTGGATCCAAAGCTGTTGTTAGGACAACCTGACCAAAACAAAACAAAACAAAGTAAATCAGGATATATCATAATGAATCAGGATTTAGTAGCACAAACAACTTCCTTATGAAAAAAGAAAAGAAAAAAGGCACTTGATTAATTTCTTAAAATTAAGAGGGAGGAAGAGCCCCTCACAGCCATCATTAGTTTGATCTAAATGACATATTGCAATTCATACAAAGTATTTCTCTTCATTACCATAGGGTTCACATGAAATCATGTTATTATTATTCTCTTTATTACCCTATGGTAATAAAGAGAAATACTTTGTATTAATAAGAATATATAATAATTATATGGTATAATTATATATTATATATACTATATTATCATTATGTAATATTAAATGATATATTAAACACAGGAACTTAGTCTTTTGGAATGCAAAAAAGGCATAAAGATTGAAAATGTGCACTGTAGATAACAAAAGATAAATCAGTAACAGTGAAATACCTTGGTATTTAAAGCTAACTATTTGGGAAAGGAGCTGTATTGACTTGGAATAAAATTACCAACTATTTAATTAAATACTTTATTTTCATATGCATATAAGAGCCATACACACATGCATTTTAATAAATCATAATGACTTAACGTCAAAAACATTTCACTGTGATTTTATTTATTCTTTGCCTCATAAAAGAATGCTCCATTTATATTGATTTTTTTCTAACACTTATCTAAGACCTGTTTCTAATTATTTAAGTAATAAAGAACTATATTATTAACCATTATTCTCTGGGGTTTAATGATGTTCTAAGTGTTTCTCTAGCCAAGTGAAATAAATAATTTTATGGAGTATGAACACATATATTATACTTAGGTATTTTTCATTAATCTTTCTCTGCTGTTATGGTTGTCAAGCACTATTACAGTTTCAAGAATAAGAAATGAATCAGAAACTTCCTAATTCCTACACAAGCCACACTCTTTTTCTTCCTAATACCTATACAATCCACACTCTTTCCTAATTATAATTAAATATTGTGACTGACGATATTTCCCCTTAATGCTTATTTTCCTAACAAAACACATTAACGTGGCAAGTAAAGGCCAGGAGTCATATTTAAAATGGTTATCAGGTACATTGGAATATCACATTTTAACCAAGGGAGACTTCGAAGTTTCAAATTTGATATATCAAAAAAAGGTGATGAAAGCTCTTGGAGTATCAATTTATTGTACATGGTACAACATACGTTTTCAGTGCTTAAAATTCTTCTGTGGTGTAGGAGATGGTTATTATAACCTCGATATGTTTTCTAGATGACTTATTAACCAATTAAGAATGTTAAAGTAAAAACTGAGAGGATAATAGTTCAATAATATTTGGGGGCGACTACAATATGCCAGGAATATAAACAGCTCTGCTAATCTCCTTTTCTCCAGGTAGTGTTTCCTGACACATTTCAAACCATTTCAGAATAAAATAAATTGTGCAATATGCCTGTAGGGAATAAAACTAAGCAAATGCAGTGACAAAGAAAGATTACGGAACTTTACAGAAAGCACATTGTCATATCATTAGGCACTTCATATTCCTAGCTACAATTTTTAATAAGCAAGAGATTTTAAGAATAAAGAAGGGTTCAAGCCAGGTTCGTCTCATTAGTCTACGATAACAGGCAACCACAAGTTAATATATTGCCAACAGCAGAGAGAAGTTCAGCACTGAACCCGTTTGAGATGGAAGGTCTAAAATATGAAGATTTCCGGGGAATACTTAATGCTGAATTAACGGATGGATCCATTACCGGAGGCAGTGCGCATGTGAAGCACCTCTGAGGATGACAGATAAATTATAATCACTCAGTGTCACCACACCAGAAGATGTCGGCTTTGACTTCATGGTGGTCTAGCCTGTTCACTGGATGGAGCATGTCTGATTTACCCAAGCGGGGGTGTGAGAATTCTACCCAAGGTCTGCTGCCTCTGGTCTGTGCTGCACAGTGTGTTATTCAAGAGCACAAAGATCACATGGGGGAATATTGCAGAAATTAGACGTTTGCCTGCCTTCAATCTGGAGAACCCAGATTTAAAATTTGTAATTTATAAATGATAAAAGTCGAGCACAATGCACCACAATGAAGTCTGAAGTTTTGAAAAAGCACTCAGTTGGAGGGAGAAAAAGTGGAAAACGATGGATAGATAATGGAGTCTGGTATGGCATAGGCGGAATGCTATGATTTCTGAGCAGCCCCCTCTCCCAACATGACTGTCACTCTCAAGACCAGCCTGGAATGGAGGTACAATGCAGGTTGGTGGAAGAGACTGCAGCCACGGTAGGCCAACTCTAGGCTGATAAGATCACTGGAAAGCTGCAGGTGAGTTGAGAGGGTAGTGGAAGAGAACTGATGGGAAACATCTCAGAACATGGGATATTTATTTACTTGAAGATAAACTGGCTGAAGAAGTAACAACTTAAGCAGAGCCTTCCACCTAGATAATACGGATCCTAGTATTATAGGAGGCTCTCAGGCACACAGAGTGGAAGGTTTTCTAGGGCCAAAACCTGTGACAGTTTGCCTTGGGACTCAGGGCATCCAGTGATAAAACTGGGAAGAGTTAGTCACCCCACTCTCCTCCAGTCCACTCCCCACATCCAGAATTGCCAGCCCAAAGGCCTAAGGGGGCTTCCAGAAGGATGGACCTCCTCTACCAGTCTCTGGACCACAAGTCTGGGAAGAACTGCAGAACAGCAGAACTCTCCTCTGCGCTCTGTGGACATCGCCATCCCCTGCAACAAGGGAGGGAGGAGAAGGGCAGGAGAAGGTCCCCTGCTTTCTTTTGGCTTCTTGTTCCCAGCCTGGAAATGTCAGCATGCCTTAATGTGTGCGGGGTGTGTGTTCATTGATCAGTAGAATCTCATGCGCAAAATGTTCTGGAACTGAAGGACACCAATTGAAATGATTGATTAAACAGAGATACCTAAGTAAACCTGTGATTGTGATTTTTTTTTTAAAGTCCTGAAGTTTGAATTTTATTATGGAAGCTTCTACAGTTTATTAGTTAGGAACTCAGAAACACTTTAATAGACACCAAATTATAAAGAACATGAGAGGGAGAATAAAACCCAAATTCAAGACAGTGTTTATCTGGGGAGATGAAGAGATAGGACCCTGGATGGGCAAATGAATGTTGATAATATTACCTTTCTAAGCTGGGAAATGCACATGTAGATATGCACAGTATTCTAATTAGTATCCTTTAAAATGCACATATGATGTAAGAGGACACTGGGTACAGGGAATATGGGCACTCTCTTCGTATCTTTGCAACTTTCTCATAAATGTAAAACTATTCAAAGATTAAAAGTTTATTTAAATAAAATAGAGTATATCATTTGTACCATAATAAAAACAAGCAAAATTACAGAGTGCACATGTGATGTATTTCACCATAAACTAGGACAGAATGAATAATAGCAATAAAAATTTTCTGCAAAAAACAGGTAGGCATCGTTAAATATGAACATGAGGGATGCAAAATACTTTAAGAACGAGGATTCTATTTTCATGATTTACACTTTTATCCAGTCTATTCACTTCATCTAGTCTTTTTTTTTTTCACATTTAACAATATGCCTGTCTTTAAAATCTCTTTTAGTGCTTCTAAATCTTTTCCTTTGAAGTGAAAGCTCTTAGTTAATTTGTTCTCCATACCTTACCATTTATTAAAGGAATGTGTTCCCATGGATTGCCATAAAATCAATCATATATTCCATGAGGTTTAATAAACAACTTGGTTCAGAAATGAACAAATCTCGCTAAAGGAGGCAATTACATCTTTTAAGACTGTCGCCATATGTGCTGCCATTCACAGCAACGGATTAGGCAGGGGTTTTCTTTGTTTGTTCCTCTTTTTTTTTTTTTGAGGAACTGTTTATTTTCCATCGACCTTATTTCCATTTTGTTTGCCTTTGTGGAAGAGCAGCTTAAGACCACTCAGGTGTTGCTCCTACCCATTCAGTGGCCAGAGCAGCCTGCGACTTCAAGTTGGGAAGCAGTGAGCTCAGAAGCTGGAGCAGTCCGTTCACCCTGAAATTCCTCCGTGGTCACAGCCTTTTCAGCCGCGCTCTGCTCCTCCTTTTCAATCCCTTCAGGAACTCTGCAGAAGCAGAGCTCAGGTGCCACGCATGCGCAGAACATCCCGGGCCGGCACCCACCCCATCAGACCCACTGACTGAGCTTCCCTGTTGTTGCAAGGGATGGCGATGTCCGCAGAGCGCAGAGGAGAGTTCTGTGCTCCACAGAGCGATGGTAGGCAGGTGAACTTGAGACGCCTCTGTGAGAGGCTGGTGGTCAGGCCTGGGATCAGTCACCACCAGAAGTCTCGGGCCCCGGAAGGCTGGCTGGATCTGGTCAGTGGAGGTTCCAGTGGGGACACGGCCGGCAGTAGGCGTGGCTCCAGGGGCAGCAGCATACTTCAGCCCAGCGCACGGGCCAGGATTCCTGGGTGATAGGACCCTGACATCAGCCAGGTTTTCAACGGCAATAATGGCATGAGCTGCCAGCAGAAGCTTCTCGCAGGTTCTCCTCAGATTCATGAGGTAGCCTCCGTCACCTCTCCTTCTGTAGATGTACTGTGGTTCCATTCGGAAGTCAAGGTTGGTGCCACCCACGCGGGTTCCTGCCGCGAGGAATCTGAGGACATCCTCCTCCTTCATTTGCAGGTCATCGAGGGCTCCAGACATTGTGAAAGTTTCCCTTTAAGTTATGACAGGAATACCGTATGGACCCCTCCCTGGGTAGCACGGAAAGTGTTCGTTCTTAGTATCAGATGAACGATGCATGGTCTGTGTGCTTACTGTCAATTCTTAGGAAGGAATTTGTATTTTATTGATGAATAAAAGATTGCGCTACGGCCACCAAATTCAAAGGCGATTCTAGACAGAGGTGACTATTAAAATTCAAAATAACAGCAATAAGAAACACACCAAATCATGATTAGAAATAAGTCTTACTACTACTACTACCAGTTTTACAACTTTGCCTTTCTACTGGCAAATCACATTTTATTTTAATTTTCCAGTGGTAAAGACTCATTTCCATTTCCAAGGTTTTCTTTTTCAAGCTTTTAGTTCAATCAAACATCCAGGGCAGGTAAATGCTTCATTTGTTTTTGTTCTCTTAGAGAGATGGCCTGGTGTTGAAGGTTGATGCCCTAATTTCATCAAATGTATCAGTGCATTATTACTTAGCAATGAACAGAGGTTTCTATGGCTAATTAGGTTAGATTATTTGCCATTGGCATAATACTGTCCTTCTGCATTGGGCAGTAGGAAAGCAATACGGATGCTCCAGAGGAGCTAAGAGCCATATGCAGGAAAATACTGCAATAAAATCAGCCCATAAAATCTGAAAAAGCCATATAAGAACCATTTCACACTAGGAAAATATAACAAAGTTTGAAAGTGAGAACTGAAGACGGTTGTCTATTTGCAATCATTCTCATTGTCGAAATTGTAAACATAAGTAAATCACATCTAAGAAATGCATCTTAGGTCATAGTTGGTCATCTTGATTCACTCAACATTTCCATGTTCAAAGACAGTGAGAAATTACCATACTATTGAATTGGTTAAAACATGATGACATCTCCAAGACACAGGGGGGAGTAACTGCAAATAGGGGTCAATTGCCCGTATGGCCTGACCTTTTCTCTTACCTCCGAAATAATAGGTACCACCTGAATAAATCTGCTCAGGCCCCAGGGAAGAAGCAGCAGAGGCTACTTGGCCATCTACCACCAGACTCAGGTGATTCCGTTTGGCAGATAAGGAGATGGAATGCCACTGCCCGTCATTTAATCCAACACCTGGGGAGACGAAATCAGTTAAAAGAGATCTCTCTCAGCGCTCACCATCCAGACACCCCATCCCTCCCACCCCCCACCACTCCAGCAACCCTCAGTTTGTTTCCTGAGCGCTGTGAATAGTACAAGACTGTTGAATCACAGACCTGTACCTCTGAAACAAATAATACATTATATGTTAAAAAAAGAGAAGAAGAAGAAGAAGAAGATAGCAGGAGGGGAAGAATGAAGGGGGGGCGTATATCGGAGGGGGAGATGAACCATGAGAGACTATGGACTCTGAGAAACAAACTGAGGGTTCTAGAGGGGAGGGGTGTGGGGGGATGGGTTAGCCTGGTGGTGGGTATTAAAGAGGGCACGTTCTGCATGGAGCACTGGGTGTTATACGCAAATAATGAATCATGGAACACTACATCAAAAACTAATG